AGTTGCACTATTTTTGCATGAAGAAAATAATTAGTCCTTTGTGCCTACAGCTAAACACGCAGTTAAATACATCACTCATTCACAACTTTAGGAAAGAGTTCATAAATACTGTTGAATAATGTTAATGATTTCCAAGAGTACTAGTCACAGGGACGTAATCACTAACCCTCACCTGCGTTTATGACATAAAATCCGAGTTCAGCTCCATTTCTCAGAAGTTCAAAGAAAATTTGCATTTCTTTGTGGCTTGAAATGGATTTGTGTCAAGTGGTTTTAAAGTTCTTCACAATGAGCCAAAGAAGATGTTCCAAAGACTTGTTATCTAAATATAATCTATTGTATTTCTGTGACTTTTCACTAAACAGTTGAAGTCCAAACTGACTGAAGCTACATTATTAGCCTCTGCTTTCAACGTGACATTTATCTGATGTCATAAAATAAAACTTTCATAGATATCTGCATTTAAAGCCCTTTATAATAATGTGCAAAAGTATTTTTATTGTTGTTAATGATGGAACTGCTGGTAATTATTCATTATAATTCATTATTCTTTATTAAATAAATAAAAGTTTTAATCTGATAATAGCATGTATGCCTTTGCATCCAGTGAGGTAAATGAAAGACCCAGTGGTACATCTAATTTTTGTTTGTTTGTTTGTTTGTTTGTTCCACTGTGCAGATCGATTGTAAAAAGTAAAATGATCTAAAAAGAAGACATTCATAACTTCTGAAGAGTAGACATTTTGATTAGCAAAGGTCTACATCATGTGGTGATCTGGATTATTTCTCCCTAACAACAACAAAAAAATCATTAACCTTATATTTTTAAAGGTTTTATCTGATTTGATTTGTTGTGTTTATAGAGTTTTGTTTTCCTGTGCTTAGACAGTTTTTTTAATCTAGTCTCAGGAACAAAAGTGTAATGTAGAAGAAGGTATTGGTTGAAGTCAGCAATGGCTTGCAGTGCTTTGAACCACAAAATGGAAAGAAAAAAGAAATAGGATTAGATAAAAAAAATAATAGAAATAGATATAAATAGAAATAATAAAACAATATAATTAAAATAATAGAACACATAGAAATAGGAAAGCCAAAGGTTTGTATTGTACTTAAAATTGATCATGTTGAAAATTTTTTTCATCCATTTTGTTGTTAAACTTAAACATTTTGTTTAAAAAAGTATTACCATTAAATGTGCATAGGGTCTACAGCAAACTCTTAAACATGCAGACCAAAATAATAGCATTCTTAAAATGCAGTCGTGGGCCGCACAAAATTATTTTAAGGTCCGCAAATGGCCCTCATGTCACACTTTGAACATCCCTGGTCTAGGAGCCTACAAACAGAAAAAAAAAAACATTTTATTTTCATGCATTCCATCTACCTGCTGGCTGTGCTCGAGTGCCTGACCACTGAGATCCTGGAACTAGCAGGAAACACGGCTCATGACAGCGGAAGGACGGGATCGTCCCTCGGCACCTACAGTTGGCTGTCCACAGCGATGAGGAGCTCGGCAGACTGCTGGGAGGAGTGGCCATCACTCTGGGAGGAGTTCTGCTGGGCATTTGGGCGGTCCTACAGCTCAGGGGAACCGAGAGGCTCTGTCAGGTCTGGATGGACGGATCAGACGGCATCTGCAGCCAGATTCTTAGGATCCACTGTGGGATGAACCTTTACAAGAGATCCTTCCTGCCTTCAGCCATCAGTATCTGTAACATCTCTTAATGAAATGAGGAAAATCAGTTACAAAAACAAATAATTTCCCTTTGGGATTAATAAAGTATTTTTGAATTTGAATTTTGAATTATTTTAATTGCATTTTACTGTAGTTTATTCTTGTCTGTACTTTATATGCTGTCTGTCTAAAACAGGCCTCTCTTGTAAATGAGTCCTCGTGACTCAATGAGACTAACCTGGATAAATAAAAGTTGAATGAATGAATAAGTCCCAGCTCGCTGTGGACGCAGCATAAATGACGAAACCCAAAAGTTTGTTTTAACAAAAAAAAAGGTGAAATTTTATTTTTACTGTCCGCATACAAAATAATTTAAAAAAAAACATCAATAACTTCTGTTCTTCACACAAAGGGACAGAAAACAATAAGAAACAACTTCATGCTTGGAAAAATCTCGTCATGTTTGAAAAATAACAAGAGAAGTGAAATTTCAGCCCTGACAGCAGCTGCTTTTAACTTTAACCGTATTTCTTGATACCTGAGAGCTTTGATGGAAGATAATATTTCTGGTTTGTTTTTAAAGTCTCTGAACAACGAATCAGCTGCTGCAACAAATGCCTCTTTTACCATCTCTCAAACCTGAAAAGACTTCTTGTGCTTAACAATTATTAACGTGACTCACCCGGACTGATGTTTCGCTGCTGTCAGCTGTAACAAAAAGGACTGCTGTCTAGATAACTGGGATTTTAGCTCCTTCACCATTTTCTTTCTCAGCTCGCTTTTCGGAAGGAAGTCAGTGCCGTAGTATTTATGAATATAGTCCAAAAACTATCTTCTTTTGTTTCTGATTAGTTAATTTTCATCACCTGGCACACCTAGGCAAAAAGGGTGATTCCTTCAAGGAATACCAAGCCTTTAATTTATTCATGCAATTTTTTGGCCTGGAAAATGTTATTTATCAAACAGGATGTACATACAGTGCATCTGAAAAGTATTCACATCGCTTCCCTTTTTCCACACTTTGTTGTTAAAGCTTTATTCCAAATTGTATTAAATAAGTCTCTTTCCTCAAAATTCTACACACAATACCCCATTATGACAATGTGAGAAACGATTTTTTTTAAATGTTTTCAAATTTATTAAATATAGAGAACTAAGAAATTGCAAGTATTCTTTGCCATCAAGCTCAAAACTGAGCTCAGATGCTGTTTCCACTGATCATCCTTGAGATGTTTCTACAACTAAAACGGAGTCCACCTGTGGTAAACTCGGTAGATTGCACTTGATTTGGAAAGACACACATCTGTCTATAGAAGGTCCCACAGCTGACAGTGCATGTAAGAGCACAAACACCAAGCATGAAGTCAAAGGTCTGCAGACCTCCGGAACAGGAATGTGTTGAGGAACAAATCTGGGGAAGGATACAGAAACATTTCTGCTGCTTTGAAGGTCCCAATGAGCCCAGTGGCCTCCAGTCAGCAGTGACTGTCAATAGTTATTTTTATATAGACCTCTCCTCTCCTCTTATCAGAGTCCAATGTGGAATCTGGCCAGTAAATTGTGCAAAAGGTCAGCTGCACAGCTGGGTTCAGGGTGTTTTCATGCAGTTAGATCATTGTTTTTACTACAAAATGCATAACCATGTAGTGCATCCGATTGGTCAAAAGAGAGTGCCCTTGCACTAAATGAACATTAAACTCCAGGAAGAACTGCACACACACATATACACAGGTTTGTGCTTCTGTCCCTAATAAGACATCGTTTTAACATTTATTTCTGTAGACTAACCCTAGCCTAAACTTAATTCACACTGTAGCCCTAAACCTAACCCAGAAATGATGTTCATCCTCATTAGGATTGTGTGTTTGTTCCCATAGGGACTACCAGTCCTGACAAGGTAGATGATTATACCAAGAAAGGTCCTCAAAAGATGACTAAAACTAAATATACACACACACACAAATGCATCTGTCTTTCTATCTTTGTGGGAACTTTGCATTGACTTCCATTCATTTCTATAGCATAACCCTAACCCTTACCCTAAACCTAACCATTACCAGTACATACCTAACCCATCTTCAATTCACACCTTAGTCCTAAACCTAACCCCTAACCCATCATTGAGACTTATACTTATGGGACCGGGCTTTGGTCCCCACAAGGAGCAGTTGGTCCTCATAATGTAGGATGTTTTGAAAATTGGTCCCCTCAAAGTAACATTATACTGAGCCACACATACGCACACACACATACAGTACATACACACAGTAAACTGAAACCAGTTGGTACAACGCACAACATGTGACAGGACAATAGATTCTTTGACTAAGTCTAAGGTTCTTCAGCTGTTCAAACATTACCCAACATTACATGATGTGGGGACATCACGTGAACCCTTTAAGCTTTACAGGTTTGATAAACATTATTACAATTCCATAAAGTTTTAAAGATCAAACTGCCCGAGTGTCTCCTGGGAACAGGAAACGTGTTGTTTTCTGTGTATCGGGTGTCCAACAAAATCTCTTGAGCTCAATGACCCGACCACTCAAAACTGGGCTACAGGTTAAGCACAGTGGCAGACTGTGGTGTTTATTAGCCCTGATCCAAATCCTGCTGCTCCCTAATGAATGTGCAAGAAAACTTTGGGATGCTGGTATTCAGGACACTTTTAGCACCACACACAGTCCTGCAGCCTTTTGGGCCATCACAGAAGTACCAGGATGTATTTTGGTACCAAGAAGTTGCTCAATGATGATTTTAGAGAGCAGCTGCTTATTTAGAGACTCATGTTCTCTGCCTTCAAGGGTGCAACTTTAGACTTCTTTTTCACCTTACTTCATTTTGTCACTTTGGGAACTATCTCAGCATCTTAAGTATTTACTGCTTCGTTAATCATCTCAGTTTAATGACAGTTATGGTATCTAAGGCCTAATCAATATCCAACTCTTTGAGAATTCACGTACAGTCATTCTGTGCAGCATTGTGCCAATTGGTTTGAGTTGTCTTTATATTAAAACAAATTTCATCACATCATGGTACATCCAAATGCAACCTATAGTTTTGCATTTGCATTAATAAAAACTGTGTGCAGAAAATAACAACAGCTAATAAAAGGTGATCATTTTAACTTGTATTAATACACAGAAATAAAGGTGAATACTAGGTAGAACTTTACTTGATGTACAGGTCCACATGCTAGCATGCTATATATAACTGGAGAATCTGTCGTTCTGGGTCACTTATTAATATAAGAGTGTAACTGTAGATAACAGGGGACCATGTGACCCCTGAAGCTCAGCTAACACATCTGATTGAGTGGTGGGCTACTATTGACAGACTCACTCCTGCAACAGCAACACATGGTATGTAAAATCTGCTACTCTATATGACACATTTTTTATTATGATTTTCAGTCAAGAAGACAATAAAAATGATTTTACTGCCTACATCTATCTATAAATCTATATCTATATATCTACATCTATACATCTATAAAGGAACAAATATTTCATGCAACAATTGTTAAGGCTAATGTTGCCTTTTTATCCAAAATCATCTTTTCTTTTATCCAGCAATTAAAAAAAGAGTAAGAAATGCAATAAAAAGCAGTAATGAGATTGTATAAAACATGACCTATCACCTAGCTTTGACCAAAAAACAGAGCTCTTCTTAATCTAATCTGATTTGTTATTGAAGGCTCTTTCTGACAAAATGGAGGCTATTGTTCATAATTTATGAGTTTATGCCAATTTGTGTATTTTTAGGTTTATTCCTGTCCAGTATTCCAACATTTGTTTGTGCTTAGAGTTAATTTGGTTCTTGTGTAACGTGGCACATTGATCTTCTCAGTTTTCCGTTTTTAGTACTTCTTGTGCTTGTCCCGTGTAATCAACCCCCTTGTTTTCATTTAGTGAAGTACTCCTTGGTCTCCTTGGTTCATATTTCACTGCATATTTTAAATTCTTTTGGTTTTAGTCAGCGCTTGTTTGGTCATTAAAGTTATTTAGAATCCAGTATCAAACTTCCTGCATTTGGTCCACATGGGTCCTGACAGCCGACAACTTGTGACAATTTTAAATTCTGCAGATTTTCTTCTCGTTACTTGACTTCTTGAAAGTCTCTTCTCACTCTTTAAGCTCAGCGACTTGGTGGCTCATAAATACTGTAAGAATCAGATGTCTACAAAAAAATCCACATAAACTCTTGATACGTTGACTGTTATATACTGTACAGTTCTTAAAAATCCAACAGCTGCTTCACACTCTAAAAAAAGAACACAAGATCTCTCGCTGAAGGAACAGTTCCTTGTGCCATTCTTTAAAATGGTTAATCTTTGGTTTTATTGACCAGCCTATATTAAAACCATGAACGTGTGCACCTGGTAAACTCTGAACTGAAACAATAAAATATAGTAAACCCGCGCTACAAGAGTTTACAAAGTCATCACTTTGACTTCTACTTTCAGGTAAATTAGCATGAAACTGGTATTACCCAACCCAGGTCTGGATCTCCGGATCCCCAGCTATGAGGATCTGGAAAGGATGGAGCAGGAGGAGGTCGCTGACAGGCCAAAGTGGGACAACAAGGCCCAGTACATCCTAACTTGTGTGGGCTTCTGCATTGGAATTGGCAATGTGTGGCGATTCCCGTACTTGTGTCAAACTCATGGAGGAGGTAAGCTCAGATATATACAATCTATACTTTAGAATTATTTGTAATATTTCAAGAAGTCAGTCAAGCACCTGAAGCAAAACTTAAAAAAGCATACAAAAGAAATAAAAAAAAATAGGCACAGATCATATGATAATTGTATAAGTTTGCCAATAGCTTCTTGAAAAAGTTAAGACCCTTAAGCTTTGGTGGATGTGAGTTCTTTAGGCCTCCAACATAATCTGTGTTATTTTTTTCCTGCCGTTGAAAGCTATGTTGGTGATATTGAAGGCAACATAGCACTTAAAAAGCAGTCCTGTGTGCACCTATAGACACAGGACAAATGTTTGATATCAAAATCTACCAAGGTTGAGTCAAGTCCTCTGAACGGATTCTTCTTTGTTGAAACATTTAGTCTTTTATCCAAAAGACATCGTCAGTCTGAGGAGCTGCAACAAACTCAGTCCTATAAGGAGCATCTTCTCATAGTGGATCAATCAGTTTGCTGCCGACAGCCAAAACTAGTTGTTCGCATGCAAAAAGAGGTCCATCAGCCTACCGACAGACTGTTAGTGCCCTGAAGACCACTTGCTATTTACAGAGGGCTGAGTGATATTTGCAGTGTAAGAAGCAGACATTTGGACTTGGAGGTCTTCACCCCTGTTTAATGATGGATGATTTCTTTTTAACAAAGATGGCCTCCTTTACTCCTCTCTCAATCCATCATTCCTCTCTATCCAGGGAGTGGTGGCGCAGAGGTTAGAGAAGTGGGCTTGTGATCCGAAGAGCGCCGGTTCACGCCCCGGCCCCGACAACATCAAAATTGTGGGTGGGGTAGGTGAAACACCCACACTTGCCCCCACCCTCATTCGCCCCACCCTGGGCCCATGAGCAAGGCCCTTAACCCCCACCATGTGCTCCCTAAAACAGGTCTCTCTTGAAAATGAGTTCTCGTGGCTCATTGAGACTAACCTTGATAAATAAAGGCTAAATGAAAAAAAAAAAGTGAACATCTTCATCCCTGAAAGAGTGACCACTGGCCTGGAGATGATTGTTGACCTCAGAGTCCTGGCCTGATGATGTTGATCTTCTGTGCTGGGCCATCCTTTTGGCCAGTGGCTGTTTAGTTTCCCCAATGTAAGACTGATCACAGCCCTCCTGACACTGAACAGCATACACAATATTACTCTGTGCCAGGGGGCCAGATCTTTGGGATGAACCAGTCTTTGCTGTAATGTATTTACGGGGTTAAAAGCCACTGGTACATCATGTTTAAAATAAACATCTCAGTTTCTCTGATACTCCTGCAAGATATGGAATGACCACTGGTCTGGGTCTGAGTTCCTCCTTTTCACCTGATGGCTGACTGGAGTCCTGTTTGGGTTTCTTCTCTGCTTTCAGGAAGGCCCAGTTAGGATATCCACATTGCTCTAGAGCCTGTTTTGAGTGGAACTTCTCCTGCTCCCTGGTTCCTGAGTTAGTGGAGACGCTATCCGTTCTGTGGTACAGAGTTCTGATGACTCCTAACGTGCTCCAGTGGGTGATGGGAGTCAAACCGCAAGCACTGGTCTGTGTAAGTGGGTTTGCACACCTAGACAGACCAGTGTGACCATACCAGTGTGGGTGGGTTTGCTTCCAAAATACATTACGGCAAAGACTGGTTTGTCCAAAAGATTCAGTCCCCTGACACAAACAGAGTAATATTGTGTATGCTGATCAATGCCAGGAGGTCTGTGATCAGTCTTACATCGGGGAAACTAAACAGCCTCCGGACAAAAGAACGACCCATCACAGAAGATCATCATCATCAGGCCAGGACTCTGCGGTCTACACTCATCTCCAGACCAGCGGTCACTCTTTCAGGGATGAAGATGTTCATATCCTGGGTAGAGAGGAACGATGGTTTGAGAGAGGAGTAAAGGAGACCATCTTTGTGAAGAGTCAGAGTTTCTTTATTTGTCATTCGCACCACATGTGGTACATGTGTTAGAACGAAATTATGTACACAGAGTCCCAGTTACATAAAACAATAAAACGTAAAAGAAAAACAGTAATAAAATATAAGAAATGAACTAAGAAAAACGTTAACCAAAAAAACGCTAAGCACTAGTAGTATAAAAACAATACGCCGAACAGCAGCACGAACATGAGTCTGTGTGAGCAGATGAGTATGAATGAACACATCAACATGAAACAGATCAGCAGCAACATTTACTTATTTATTTATGAATTTATTCATTTTTTTAAAACAAAACAATTCCATAAACAATAAAAAATACGATCAAAAACAAAAATGAAAGGCAGCAGAAGGAAGAAAAAAATCTTATTAGATCTGCCCCTTTTTTTTCTCCAAACAATTAATTCAAACAATAATAATCTTCAAGTAACAAAACAAAATAAATAACTCCTTCTTGAACGACTATTTATACAATACACATTAAGCTACTTCATTTTTTTTTTTTTTTTCAATTCAACTTTGATCATTTTCTTAAATGTACACATTGATTTGGCATTTTTAACATCACTCTCCTGATCATTCCGCAATCCAATTCCCTGGATTGAGGAAGACCATTCTGATGTGATTTTTAAACAGTGATTATTCTAGTTAGAGATTCATAAGTCTAACAGCCTCAGGGTATAAGCTGTTCCTCAGTCTAGTGGTTCTACATTTAATGCTCCTCAACCTCCTTCCTGAGGGGAGTGGGGCAAAAAGTGTGTGTGCTTGGTGAGTGGGGTCCTTCATGATGCAGGTGGCTCTCTTCCTGCATCTGGAGGTGTAGATGTCTGTGATGGTGGGGAGGCTGACTCCAACAGTCTTCTGTGCAGCCTTCACCACTCTGCTCTCTGCAGCCTCGATGCCACACGTTGATGCTGGAGCACAGGATGCTCTCCACTGCACACCTGTAGAAGGAGATGAGGCCTGACCTTCCCAGTCCAGCTCGTCTCAGCCTCCTGAAGAAGTTCTGATGAGCTTTCTTGATTAGGTTCGTAGTGTTGTTTTCCCAACTGAGGTTGTCATTCAGGTGCACACCCAAGTAGTTGTAGCTGGACACCACTTCTACCGCAGATCCTCCTATGTTCAGGGGTGGGTAGGTGTGTTTGTTCCTTCTGAAGTCCATGACCATCTCCTTTGTCTTCTTCAAATTGATGTGAAGGTTATTCTCTCTGCACCAGCTCTCCAGGTGTTCCACCGCCTGCCCGTAGCTGGGCTCATCATTGTTTGTGATGTGATGCATCCCACCACCACTGTATCATCTGCAAACTTTACAATGTGACAGCCTGGATGTGTAGGTGTGCAGTCATATGTGAGCAGAGTGAACAGAAGAGGGCTCAGCACACAGTCCTGAGGGGAGCCAGTGCTAAGGGTTATGGTGGAGGAGGAAAAGTTGTCAATCCTCACTGACTGTGGTCTGTTTGTTAAGAAGTCTTGGACCCAGTTGCAAATGCCGGGGCTTAGTCCTAGTGTGTGTAGTTTGTCCATCAGGATTTGGGAAATCATCAGAATCAGAATCAGTTTATTATCGCCATGTCAATGAACGAGGTTCACAAACTAGGAATTTGCTTTGACATAAGGTGCGAATAGTAGTAAAGTAAAATAAAGTAAAAATGAAGTAAAAATGGGAACATTACATAAGACATAAGCCTGTGTACACCCACAAATAAAGTAAAATTAAAAACATAACATAACCATATGTACACCCATACAATAGAAAACAATAAAAAAGCTTAGAGAACAGTACAGATGGAGTATTCAGTTATAATACAGATGTAATGTGACCAAAGCAGAAATTATGAGGTAGCATTATGAGTGTTCAGGAGTCCAACAGCAGAGGGGAAGAAACTGTTCTTATGGTGGGAGGTTCTGGTCCGAATGGACCGAAGCCTCCTGCCTGAGGGGAGTGGTTCAAACAGTCCGTGTGCAGGGTGAGCAGGGTCAGCTGTGATCCGACCTGCTCGCCTCACAGTCCTGGAGACGTACAGGTCGTGGAGGGATGGAAGGCTGCAGCCGATCACCTTCTCTGCTGAGCGCACAGCGCGCTGCAGTCTGAGTCTGTCCCTGGCGGTGGCCCCGGCATACCACACCGTGATGGAGGAGCTGAGGATGGACTCGATGATGGCCGTGTAGAACTGCACCATCAGCTTGGCCGGCAGCTTGGCCTTCTTCAGCTGTCGCAGGAAGTACAGTCTCTGCTGGGCCTTCTTGATGAGGGAGCTGATGGTTGGCTCCCACTTGAGGTCCTGGGTGATGGTGGTGCCGAGGAACCGATAAGAGTTCGCAGTGGTGATGGGGGTATCATTACAGGTGAGGGGGGGCAGAGGGGCTGTGGCTTTCCTGAAGTCCACAATCATCTCCACTGTCTTCTGGGCATTGAGTTCCAGGTTGTTGCTGCTGCACCAGGTCACCAGCCGGTCCACCTCCCTCCTGTATGCAGACTCATCACCGTCCAAGATGAGCCCGATGAGGGTGGTGTCATCTGCAAACTTAATAAGTTTCACAGAGTCATGGCTGGAGGTGCAGCAGTTGGTGTACAGGGAGAAAAGCAGGGGGGAAAGCACACAGCCCTGTGGAGATCCTGTGCTTACAGTCCGAGTGTCCGAGACAGCTCTCCCCAGCTGCACGCACTGACTCCGGTCTATCAGGAAGTCTGTGATCCACCTGCAGGTGGAGTCAGGTACATGGAGCAGGGAGAGCTTGTCTTGGAGCAGAGCAGGGAGGATGGTGTTAAATGCAGAGCTGAAGTCCACGAACAGGATCCTGGCATAGGTTCCTGGGGAGTCCAGGTGTTGCAGGATGAAGTGAAGAGCCAGGTTTATTGCATCATCTACAGACCTGTTGGCCCTGTAGGCAAACTGCAGGGGGTCCAGGAGGGGGCTGGTGATGGACTTGAGGTGAGATGAAACCAAGCGTTCAAAGACACAAAATTTGTTTTCTCAGTCATCCAGGTATATAACAACAAAAAAGGTTGAATCATGTCATCTGGACTTCGTTTTTTTTTTTTTTTGTTAAAAAGCGTTCAAAGGTTTTCATGACTACAGACGTGAGAGCTACAGGTCTGTAGTCAATTGGTTCTGTGACATGTGGCTTCTTGGGGACAGGGACAATGATGGAGGACTTGAAACAGGCTGGGACGTGGCATGACTCCAGAGAAGAGTTGAAGATCCCTGTGAAGACCGAAGCCAACTCTGCAGCCGAAATCGTGGTGTTGAAGGTAGACGTGAAGTCCACAAAGAGCATACGGATGTAGGAGTCCTTCTGCTTTAGGTGGGTGAGAGCAGTGTGGACCACAGAGGAGATGGTGTCTTCTGTAGATCGATTCTCGTGGTGTGCATACTCATGAGAACCCCTCCATCGCTAAACAGGGGTAGAGGCCTCCATGTTCAACTTTCACCCTCTTACAATGCTGTTAATGCTAGTATCACTCTGCCCTCTGTGGCCAAGTGCAAGTGGCCATCAGGGCACTAACAATCAATTGTTAGGGCAATAACAATCAGCGGTTTTCACTGCTTTTAATATTTAACTTTTCTGTTTATGTGACAAACCAATTTCCTTCAGGGTATCAAGTAAATATAAATATTCTATTATATTCTATTTTCTACAATTTTTCTCTGCAAACCATCTCAAAAGCAGTCAGGTTGGATGGGGCAAGCCATTTTCCCTTTTTTTCCAGATATTTAAAATGGTTTGTGTTAGGATTTAACTAGGCCCCTCCAGGACATTCACCAAGCCGTTCTTAAGATAGTACGGCCTTTTCTGTGTGCTTTGGGTATTTGTCATGTTGAAAGGTGAAACCAGTTTTGCTGAGGCCCTAAACTCTGTGGAAAATAAAGGAATTTTCAGTATTTTATGCTTTTCAGCTATTACTTAACCCTGACCAGTCTCTGATAGCCTTTCAGCAGCGGGTTTTGACTGGTGGTATTGGGCAGTCTAGTCCAGTTCCAGTTTGATTTTTGGAACCCAAAGACATGGGGTTCCATTTGGGCCGGGCTGGTGCTGCAGATTTGATGTCAGCAGACTGCTGGCCATTGATTGGTTCTCTGACCTGGGGAGTCAAGTCACAGATGAGTCCATACTTTCTTCTGGCCAGTTGCTCCTATTTTTCTTTAAAACAAATAGCAACGTAAAAGACAACACAAGTATGCTGGACAAATAACAAGTTACAGTTATTGCTGAGCTTTTTTGCAAAAAAGAAACTTCAGAAAGAGCTGGATGGGTACCATGCAAAACGAGAAAGTGCTTAGCCATGTCTCAGAGCTGTTGACCCCCTCTTAAAATGCTGTTAATGCAAATATTACTCAGCTATCTGTAAATAGCTAATGGTAAATGGACTGTACTTGTATAGTACCTTTCTATCTTGTCAAGACACTCAAAGCTCTTTACAACACAATCTGTGCCCTCATTTATCCATCCATAGAACACTCTACTATATCTATACAAATACTAATCAGTGCTTTAAATGACATTCAAACACCGCTGGGACAAACATTGGAGGTAATGAGGGGTTCAGTGTCTTGCCCAGGGACACATCAGCATGTCACTGCTGGTGGAATCAAACCCACAACTCTCCCACTGGAGGACGACTGCTCTAACCACTCAGCCACAGATACCCACAAAAGCAATCAGCAAGCGGTTATCAGGGCACTAACAATTGGTCATTAGGCTGATGGTCCTCCTTTTGCATGTGAACAACTAGTTTTGGGTGTCACCTGCAAACTGGTTGATCCACTGTGAGAAGGTCCTGCTATAAGACTGAGTTTGCTTGCCACTCCTCAGACTGAAGAAGTTTTTTGGATAAAAGATGAAACATTTCAACAAAGAACCCATCCAGAGGACTTGACTCAACCTTGTCAGATTTACCTACTTGAATTACTGAGCATGCATCAGAAAATTTTGACATAAAAACTTCCCAACTCACTAACAGAGAAAAAAAACTGTATCCTCAGCTATAAAATTTAAAACCAATGTAAGACAATTTTACTGCTTAGACTGATCTCTCTGAAGCTTGCAAGCACATGGGAGGTTACATCCATCCATCCATTATTTTTACCTGATTCTACCTTTGTGGGGTTGCGGAGGTCAGTGTTGCCCATATCCAGCAGTCACTGTGTGAGAGTCAGGGTACACCATGGATAGCATGTTGCATCTCCATCACAGACATGGTATGTTGAAAAAGCAAAATTATACCAGTTCTATTATCATACTAATGATGAGTTGACATTTTCAGGAGCCTTTCTGATTCCCTACCTAATCTTACTGGTTCTGGAGGGAATGCCTCTTCTGCTGCTGGAGTTTGCCATCGGCCAGCGTCTCAGGAAAGGTAGTGTTGGCGTCTGGAGATCCATCAACCCCTATCTGACTGGTATAGGTGAGTAACATAAACAAGCACCAAAAAATTACAAACCTGCTAGTAAATACTTAAAATTTAAAAAGGTGAAACTGTCTTCCTCAGGGATCTCCTCCATGTTGGTGTCTTTATTAATTGGGTTGTACTACAACACATTGATAGCCTGGATCTTGTGGTATTTCTTCAACTCCTTTCAAGACCCCCTACCCTGGACCCAGTGTCCTCTCAATGACAATAGTACAGGTCTTTTAAAACAAATGCACACAGCCAAACCTTGTAACTCACTCCGGCTCTGCTCAAAAAGACTGATTGTTTTTTGCCTCTGCAGAATATGTACCTGAGTGCCAGCAGAGCTCCACTGTGGATTATTACTTTTATAGAGTGACTCTGAACAGTTCAACCTCCATAGATAACTCTGAAGGCATCCATTGGCCCATGGTGGTCTGTCTGTTAGCTGCCTGGACGATAATCTGCATTGCCTATATACGAGGGATCAATACATCAGGAAAGGTTTGTAGACTGCAGTCAAAATCCAAATATCTAACAGCTGCTTCCACTGCTTCTTCATGTTGGTTTTATCCCTTGTCATGACCTCAGGCAGTCTACGTCACAGCCATCTTGCCTTACGTAGTGTTGGCCATCTTCCTTATCCGAGGACTGACTCTGAAAGGTGCCCTGAGTGGATTAGAATACCTCTTCACCCCAGATGTGTGTTTCTAATTTTTATGTAGGGGGGCAATCCACAGATGCCGTAATACAAATCTGCATCACCCCGTACTGTTTGTTTCCTTCTTGCAGGTGAATGAGTTGACTAAACCAACAACGTGGCTGGACGCTGGTGCTCAGGTCTTTTATGCCTTTAGCATAGCATGGGGAGGCCTGATCTCCTTCTCAAGTTACAATCCTATTCAGTAAGAAGCACCAACAAAGCTTTGAATAGCACATAAACTAACTTGAAAATAGTGTATCATCACAATTTCATGTCTGTTCTCTTTTCTTCCAGCAACAATTGCATGAAGGATGCTGTGATCCTGACTGCTGTGACTGGTCTCACCTCAGTCTATGCTGCCACTGTCACATACACCATCATTGGCTTCAGGGCCACTGAAAATTATGACACTTGTATGAGTGAGTGAGTAGTCTCAGCATATGAATGGGAACTGCATATTGTAATTTATTTCTTACCTGTTGTATGTGCTTGTATAAAGATACAAGATCCAAGAGCAAAGGCTCTTGGAAGAGAAAAATACATTGAAATTTAATAGAAACAAATGCTGCACATCTTGTCTATTAATAAGCATTGCACAACAAAACACTGCAAAACCCACCTGCACACATGACAAAAGTATGCCTACAGAAGATGAAGATGTTGGTTTCTAATTCATAATTAAACAAAGAACTGCCTTGTCCCTCAGAACTCCATTTCCCCAGTCATCTCTTCTGAAGCCAAGACAACATTCTACACTCAAATAGGCAGGCCATGTAACAGGCCGTGCCTGGACTCTACCTGGAGTTAAAGGGACATAGGCTAGATTATATCCCAGGTAGACTATGACCTAGGCCAATTTATACTCAGAAGTATTATTGATCTTTATTTAACCAGGCAAATCCCAATGAGATCACAGATCTCTTTTGCAAGGGAGGCCTAGGCCTGAAGGCTGACTAACATGCATGGTTTTGGTCTGTTGGAGGAAGCCGCAGTACCCGGGAAAACCCACACAAGCACGAGAATAACGTGCAATCTCCACACAGAAAGACCCCAGGTACAATTGGGGATTGAACCCAGTACCTTCTTGCTGTGAGGCAACAGGGCTAACCACTGAGCTGTCATGCTGCCAATAAATTGTATAAATAAATGGTATAAATTAGCCTAAACCTATTCCTACCCCTCAGACCAGATGTGTGGTATATAGGTGGGTATATTCTGGCCTGGAGGGGTCTAGTCTGGCCTAAGCTATTTTACACAACCGGGTACAGTTTGGTCCAGGACAGTTTATCCCCTGGGGTATACTCTGGCTTGAGCCAAACAATATCTGGCTTTAATCTGGGCAGGGGTTAATTTGGACTGTTACACTGTCTTCACAAACAATCATGTAGCCATCACACTGGTAGATTTTTAACTCCAGGCCATGTTTCTCAACAACATGTTATTGTTCAATCCTAAATTTATCATAATAATTCACATTTTTTAATAATATTTCCACATAAATGCTTGACTGGTACCACTTAGGCTCTGTTCCTCAATTAGGAACGTGTGGTGACCAAATACCAAAAGTACAACTAAGACTATATTGTATTCTTACCCAAGTAAAAATACCACCATTGCTAAGTACCAACCCTAATTTTTGTATGATGGCAAAAATGACATTACAAAATATTAAAATCTTCACAATCTAACTTATTGGGGCAGAGATAGTGTAGGGGCAAGGCAACCGACTCGAGACCCAAAGGTCCTGAGTTCAATAACCGGTCATTGCACATCTTGTGGTGTCTCTGAGCTGAACACCTTATCCCCATTTGCGCCTCCCATAGCTTCCCACCGCCCCACCTGGTGATGGATGGGTTAAAAGCAGAGAGCCAATTTTGCCATTGTATGGGAACATACAATGATGACAATACATAACACACATTTTAAATTATGTTGAACGCCTGAAAAGCAAAATCAGAATTTTTTTAACAAATAAATGGAGATTTGTCTGAAATATTGTGGTTTACATAAGCTTGAAAATGCAGTTACATGTAAAAATTTAAAATTAAATGTGTACATTTCTAATGATCAATAAGTTCTAACTGGATTTGAAACGTTACATTCAGTGATCCATAAATATTGATTATTGATTTCTTTCTTCCTTAGAAACATCAAAACTTTGTTAAACACATTTGAGCTTCCTGAGGTCAACATCACTACAAACAACTATGACGCAGTCTTTAATGAGCTGAACAGCTCCTATCCAGACATCGTTCTTGGACTGGACATCCGAACTTGTGACATGCAGAAACTTCTCAGTGAGGTGATTCGGTTTATAAAAATGATCAAAACCCTCTTCATGTGATTGTTTCTCATCTAATCTTTAGTCTGGTTGTTTGTTCAGGGAGTGGAGGGAACAGGTCTGGCTTTCATTGTTTTCACTGAGGCCATCACCAAGATGCCCGGCGCCCCGATTTGGTCTGTGCTCTTTTTTGTCATGCTTCTCTGCCTGGGACTCTCAACGTTGTTTGGCAACATAGAGGGAGTGGTGGTCCCACTGAAAGATTTGAACGTGTTACCTAAAACATGGCCCCAAGAAGCTCTGACGGGTACTCATTTTAATTCATCTAAAATAGTTATGTGTTATATGCAAATGAGCTGCTTGTTAACACAAACACCATGTTTTTGTGTCTGCTTGTTTCAGGAGTGACCTGCATAGCAGCTTTTATCATCTGTTTACTGTTTGCACAGCCTTCTGGGATTTATTGGGTAACGCTCTTTGACAACTTTGCTGGATCAGTCCCTCTTCTGACCATTGGATTGTTTGAGTTGATTGCTGTTGTTCACATCTACGGCATCGACAGGTTAGTGAGCAGATCTGCTGACAGCAAAAATACTATTTAAATTTCTATTTGCACCTGTACAAGTTTTTTTTATGGTTGATTCCAAATTCCAATTTATGTAACACGCTGACCTGCCAATGTTAATTTTTACGTTTCTCTCTAACAGCATGCAACTTTTATTTATTTCATTGTTTATATTTTGAATTGAATAAAACTTTTGAGAGTGTTTAATAAATGATGATCAATTATCATTGGCTGTAAGTTGGGTTTGGAAATCTAAAGAAGAATTTTCCATGATATTGGACAGTTTGTATAAAAAATGAATGAATAAAATATAAATTTATTTACACTTTATTCAACAGGACATAACTCCATAACATTTTAGGTTTAATTTGCACAACTCAAAGCTAAATATTCACAAGACAATGCATTTTTCTACAAGATCTCTATTTAAAATAAAGCTGTGTTACTTTAAAATGAGATAATCCATTCATTTAACTATATATATGACAAACAGCTTGATTATCAAAGCAATAAACTATTAAATCTCTATTTATAACCCTGTGTTTTGTTTATTCAGATGCTTCCTTCAGGAGAGGAAAGTGTCTGCCTCGATCTTATTACAGTATCATTTTTATTTTTTGTTGCACTGGACTTTAATATGACACCTGCTAAAGTGGCAGCAGGTAGTTCAATGTAAAATAGCTTAAACTGCTGAGTAGTAAAAGTGACTTCTGTTTAAAAAATCTTTTTTTTTCTAGCCTTTTAACATCTCGTGTTTCTTCAGACTTTACCCTTCATAAGTTCTTTACGCCACGTAGTAGCTACTATCTGTGTATGTTGAAAATTGTAAAGCTGAAAATAGACTGAATTAGTCAGCTAACTAATATAAATATGAGCTCTAATTCAAACAAAACACTTTTCTGTGGCAGGTTCAACAAAGACATGCAGTTCATGATTGGGCATAAACCATCCATCTTCTGGCAGGTTTCATGGAGGTTCGTCAGCCCTTTAATCATCCTGGTTATATTAGTTTTCTACCTGGTGACTCAAGCCCAGCAAGAACTCACCTATTTAGTCTGGGACCCGAATTCAGTAAGCTCACATGAAGAAAACAGTAGTTTAAGAGGTTTTATTTCATGTTTTTGAAGGATGTAAATGCTCATACTGCTATTTGACTTACAGGAGGAGTTTCCAGTTCTGGCATCCATCCCGTACCCATCATGGATCAGTGTGGTTATTTTTCTCTTGGCAGGAATCCCCAGCTTGGCAGTGCCTGTGTACGCATTATGTAGGCTGGTCTTTATCAGCTGCAAGCAAAAGAAAAAAGCCTGTAAAGACTTTGGTCATGTGTTTTAAAACAGCACAAGTTGTTCAAGAGTGAACCAAATTATCTTTAATATTTCATGTTGAACAAAAAGCAGGCATTCTGGGCCTGTTTGTGTTAATGCACATGTTTTTTTAAGCATCATTTTTATTGAACTACAATTTTAAGTTAACATTTCTGCTCATATTTTGTGGAACTTTGCACTGTTTTTTTAAGAAAAAGCTTCATCTGCTTTTCAAATTCAAATAGGATATACTATTTCATCTTCATTAAGATTTATGTTGTATAATTGTATCAATTGTATCAATTTTACCAATAAAATCTGTCTTAATGAATGTTTAGAAACATCATCCACAACATGTGTCTTTAGATTATATGCTGTATGTAAACCCTAATTTCTCACAAAATGAAGGACACCATTGTTGTATAAATCCAAAGTCTATTTGAAGTGTTTAAAGGACGCATAAACTCATGCTAGTTTTGAGTAGACAGTGTAATTCAGTAAAGTAGCCAGCAGAGGAATATCTCACACAGACAGCAGGACTCTAAACATAGGCATGACGGGCAAAGATACAGAGCTGGCTGACATGATGCAGAGAAGGAAGGTATATTATAGGTGCAATAGACCAAGCAGAAAGGCAGCAAGGATCACAGCATTTTGTACAGGGTTTGGGCTGTTTTATCATGGGGTACATAGGAAGAGAAATGGAGTGGGAATGGTCCTGAAGGAGGAGGTTACAAATTATGTAGTAGAAGTCAAAAGAGTGTCAGAGAGGGTGAATTTCTGAAGTTCTGGCAAAAGTGTATTACATCAAATGCCCTTACTGACACAACCCTCACCATTTACCTGGTCTTGAGACTGGCACAAGAGATACATTGGCTTGTGCTCCCTAGTGGCTGGTTTTCTGTGTTCAAATCTGTTAGTGTTTAAACACATCAAAAATGTCAGATAGATGTAGAATGTCTGATGGTGTCAGTGGTTATTCTTCACAGCTTTGAAGTGAGGTAGAGGAGAAGGAGAGAAATTCTGAAGGATCTAGATAAAGTAATAGGGCATTTCCAGGGATGAGAGGGTGATAAATGAAGCAAACCTGAATGGACATGTGGGTCAAGGCAACAGAGGTGATGAGGAAGAGATGGGCAGTTATGGTGTCAAGGAAAGAAACCATGAAAGACAGATGGTGGTGGATTCTGCCAAGAGGATGGAAATGGCTGTTGTCAACACCTATTCCCAAAAAAGAAAGGAACATATGAGGGGAGGCAGGAGTACGAAAGTGGACTGCATTCTGTATTGAAGGGGTAAATTGCGATAAATTAGGGAATGTAAGGTTATGACAGAGGAGAACATGGTCAAACATAAAGGTTCTTTATTGTCATTCGCATCACGTGTGGTACATGAGGTGGAACGAAATTGTGTACTCAAGGTCCCAGTTACATCCAAAAATAGCAATCATATAAAGTATAAAAAGAAACAGTATACAAGGATCTAAGATATAGGCTAAACACTAATAATGTAAAATCATACAGTGTATTAAACAGCAGCCCAAACGTGACTCTGTAGTGAGCAGCTGGATATGAATACAACAGTTTAGAGGCAAGAGATCAGCAGCATGGATAATCAACAGCACAGATAAGTTGAGGATCAGCAGCATGGATAATTAGCTCACAGATAAGTCTCATGTCACCAATTAAAGTGTTATTACAGTGATATTTATTTTTCCTTACAGTGATTTTCCTGGTTAGGGATTTACGAGTCTAACAGCTTCAAAGTAGAAATTGTTCCTCAGTCTAGTGGTTCTACACAAAATGCTCTGCAAACATCATGGGATTGTGGTGTTTACAAAGACTGTTGTGGTAAAGAAGAGAAAAGTCAGAGAAGAAGACCAAATGGTAGAAGTTAAAAAAGAATGAATGTTATGAGAAATTCAGAGAGGAGCTGTTAAAGGCTCCGGATGGTAAGAAAGAGCTTCCAGATGACTGGACTACTATAGCAACAGTAATCAGAGACAGGTAGAAAGGTACTTGGTGTGTCATCTGGATAGAGAAAAGATGATAAGGAATCCTGCTGGTGGAATAGTGAAGTGCAGAAAATTATACAGAGGAAGAGTCTAGCCAAGAAGAAATATGACAGTGAGAGGACTGAAGAGAGGAGACAGAAATAAAAGGAGATGCAACGTAGGGCAAAGAGGGAGGTAGCAAAGGCAAAATAGAATGTGATTGAGTTGTACAAGAAGGTGGACATTAAAGCGGTTGAAAAGGATTTATACTGATTAGCGAGACAGAGGGATCAGGCTGGAAAGGATGTGCAGCAGGTTAGGCTTGTTAAAGATAGAAATGGTAATGTTATAACAAGTGAACAGAGTGTGATGGGAAGATAGAAGGAGTACTTTGAGGACCTAATGAATGACAAAAATAAATGAAAAGATGAGTAGAGGTCACAGAAAATGTGGAAAATTAAGTGTTAAAGATTAGTGAGGCGTTCCTAGTCCAGTCGAGAAACATAGTCCCTCCAGCATGTCCTAGGTCTTCCTCTGGGTCTCCTCCCGGTGGGACGTGTCCAGAACACCTCACCAGGGAGGCGTCCAGGAGGCATCCTAACAAGATGCCCGAGCCACCTCAACTGGCTCCTCTCAATGTGGAGAAGCAGCGGCTCTACTCTAAGTCCCTCCCAGATGATTGAGCTTCTCACCCTATCTCTAAGGGAGAGCCCAGACACCCTGCGGCGAAAACTTATTTCGGCCGCTTGTATCCGAGATCTCGTTCTTTCGGTCACAACCCAAAGCTCATGATCATAGATGAGGGTAGGAACATAGATCGATCAGTAAATTGAGAGCTTTGCCTTTTGACTCAGCTCTCTCCTCACCACAACAGACCTGTACAGCGCCTGCTTCACTGCAGACGCTGCACCTATCTGCCTATCGATCTCACGTTCTATTTTTCCCTCATTCGTGAACAAGACCCCAAGATACTTGAACTCCTCCACTTGGGGCAGGACCTCCTCCCTGACCCAGAGAGGGCACTCTACCCTTTTCCGGCTCAAGACCATGGCCTCGGATTTGGAGGAACTGATCTTCATCCCGGCCGTGTCGCACTCGGCTGCAAACCGCTCTAGTCACACAATGAAAATCTGGAATAGAGTTGTAGAAGCTAGACTTAGATAAAAGGTGACAATTTGTGAGCAGTTGTATGATTTCATGCCAAGAAAGAGCACCACATACATCATATTTGCTTTGAGGATGTAATGGATAAGTACGGAGATGGTCAGAAAAATTGTGTCTTTGTGGATCTAGACAAAGCACATGAGAGGGTGCTGAGGTAAGTCGTAAAGGTGCAAGATTTCAAGTACTTAGGGTCAACTGTCCAGGAAAACAGGGAGAGTTGTAAAGATTAAATAGGAATAAGAGTCCAGACTGAATGGAGTGGATGGAAAAACATTTCAGGAGTGATTTGTGACAAAGGAGTGGCAGAGCTGAAGATGTTGAGGTTCTCCTTGGGAGTGACAGGGATGGATAAGCTTAGGTAAGAGATCAGAGGTACAGCACAGGTGAAATTACTTAAGGATAAAGTTAGACCAGACTGAGATAGTTTGGATATGAGCAGAGGAGGGACAGTGGGAATATTGGTAGGAGGAAGTTAGAAATGCAGCTACCAGGGAGAAAAAAAATCAGAGGAAAACAAAATAGAAGAAATATGGATGCAGTTAGAGAGGACATGGAGGTAGTTGGAGTGAGGAAAGAGAACTTGAGGACAGAGTGAGATGGAGGAGGATGACTTGATGTGACAACCTCTAAAAAGGGAACAGCCCAAAGAAAAAGAAGATGCAGTGTGATTTTCTTTCCTAGCTTAGATATTTCCTTGCCAAGTAATCAAACCATTTGTCCCAAATATAGGGGTCAATATTTATGCTAACCAGATAAAGCCAGTTATTAAACCAAGGTTCTTTCATTTGATAAATATGTCCAAAACAAGGCCAATTCTTTCACAACAGCTGTTTGAAACAATGATCCATGCCTTACAACCCAGCTGGACTATTGAAGCACTGTATGTTGAGGTCAATATGTCTCTTGTTGCCCATTTACAGATGGTGCAAAATGTTGTGGCATTCTACTGCAATTTCGGATATCTTTTAACTTGCATGAAAAAAACTGAACTACAGCACCTGTTTTAACATCCCTCCATTGGTTGTAAATTCATTTTACAAATCATTGTGAAAATATTGTAAGGATTAACTAAGTACCCAGAATAGTTGTGAACCATATGAGCAACCACAAAACAAGGGATAGTTGAACAGTGTTTTTTTACAAGGTGATAATATGCAAACAGTCAAACTGTGACCTTTGTAGGGAGAAACTGGAATCCTGAAGACAAGGGAACAGTTAGTAGGAGCCAAGCAAGTCTGCAGATGATGATGATGATAATAATAATAATAATAATAATAATAATAATAATAATAATAATAATAATAATAATAATAGGGGCAGCACGGTGGCGCAACTGGTAGAGCTGCTGCCTCTCAGCGAGCAGGTCCCTGGTTCAAACCCCGGTCCAGGGGCCTTTCTGGGTGGAGTTTGCATGTTCTCTCCGTGCATGCGTGGGTTTTCTCCGGGTGCTCCGGTTTCCTCCCACAGACCAAAAACATGGATGTTAGACTGATTGGTAACTCTAAATTGTCCCTAGGTGTGAGTGAGAAAGTGAATGGTTGTTTGTCTCGTTTGTCTCTATGTGTCCCTGTGATGGACTTGCGACCCGTCCAGGGTGTACCCCGCCCCTCGCACAGTGATTGCTGGACATGGGCACCGGCGACCCCCGTGACCCAAAATGGAACAAGCGGGTAAAGAAAATGGATGGATGGATGGATAATAATAATAATAATAATAATAATAATAAATAGGCCGCTTACTTGAGGAGAAGGTGGTAAACTCTGGGGCATGAGAGTCCAAGGATCCATGGTCACGCCATTGAGGTCCCAGGGTGATCAATAAATATCATAAGAGAGTGGGGAAGGCAAAGAGGGAACAAGGGAGGTTCTCAGAGAATGTGGG